CCAGTTTTCCACTCCAGGCATCCTTCTTGGAAAATCCACTCCTCTGCTGCCCTGCCTCAGTCTGGGGTGGTTGCTCTTCAGGACAGCCACACCGCTGAGCTCAGCCTTGGGGAGTTTGCTTTGCCTCTCTTTAGGAATTCCTTTTGTCTCTTTTCTGTCTTAGAGTCCCTATTTTTTTTTCCTTTTTCTCTTTTTGTGTTGGAGCATCTTGCTGAGAAGAGACTGAAAAGTAATGTTGTGTTTACCAGTTTGAAGTCAGCAATAGTTTTGCCCACTATAGAATTGTGGTCATTTTTACTCTTTGAAGGAGGTTTTTTTTTTTTCTTAATTTTTTATTCACACGTTTGTCTTAAGAGCTCCCTTTGTAACCTGTAGAATTCACCATATAAGGTACATTACAACCTTTGCAACCTGAAGAGATTTGTCCTTTTTTTCCTGTATTTTTGCGTTATTTTTGTAGCATGTATGTTTTCCTCCCGCCTCCCACTTTTTTCTTTCTTTCTTTTTTGTCTTTTTGAGACAGGGTCTCCCTGTAGCCCCAGCTGGCCTGGAACTCACTATGTAGCCCAGGATGGCTTCCTTCTCAGAGATTTGCCTACCTCTGCCTCTGAAGTGCTGGGATTAAAGGTGTGCACCACCACACCTGGCTCTTCCCTATGGTTTCGAAATGGTGTGAATCAGATATTAAGGCTCTTGAGTTAATCTTCGCACACATCTTTTCTGTCTTTTTGTTCTATTTTTCTTGGCTGTAGTATTAATTCATGTTTTCACTTTGAGATAAGGTATTTGCATTTGGCAATTATGTCTTTAACATCTAAGAAAAGCTTTCCTTGTTTCTAGGTATTCTTTTTTATCTTTATATATCTTGTATTATTTCTGCCAACTCTCATCATTATTCATGTTTTCTTTGAAGTTACTTCTGCCTCATTTATTGTTGTGGATATTTTTTCTGGTGATTGCTATGGTTCCCTGCTTCTCAGGTGGACATATCAGATATGCTGATTTTTTTTTGTTACCTATTTTTATTTTAAAATGAGGTCACAGATAATGACCCAAACATTATTTATTTATTTGTTTGTTTAATTAATTAATTAAATTAAATTAAATTAAATTTTTTTTTTGGCTTTTACAGAGGCAATAGTGCTCAGGCCAGGGACACAGTCCATGCTGCCAACTGGAGCAGCCTTAGCTCCTCTGAGATTTCCATTCACGTAAAGCTGGACACTTGACTTCTCTGTAGGAAAAAAAAAAAAAAAAAATCAGGATGGGATAGTAAGAAGCAGAGTTTTTTTTTCCCCAGAGGAGCTTTTAACATCAGTGCGGTGGTTAATAGAAAGAGAGGCACCGGGAAAGAACAAGGCCCACCCAGGAGCATGCTAGTTATGTTGCAGTTCTCAGGTGGCAAGAGGTTTGACTGGACTCTGGCAGCAGCCAGCCAGGACTACATAGTGAGACTCTATTGAAAAAAAAAAGTCAAGCTTATAAGGTGGCCACTTGAGTGTTTCCATAGTTTTTTTTTTTTCTGATGCCACAGTCATTCATACATAAATCCCCTGGTATTTTGTTTGGATCTACATCCCTGGGGACTGCTGGGTAGGCGCTAGATGGAGACACATTATCTGGAAGGCAAATATCTCATTATTTTCCATGTAAATTTTGACCCCAGCCTTCTCTGACAGTAGAGATTTTTCAATCATGCCTTTCTCAAGACTCCATTTTCCTTGGGTGGGGGTAGAAGTAGTCCGGGCACAGCAGGGACATGAACCCTGAAGGCTGTGATAGAGACATGGGCATGTAAAAACACTTTAGAATATTAGGCCACCACTTCTTTATGTGCCTGTGCCTTGTATTGCTAACTTCTGAGTATTGGGGGTATCGACTGCTTCTCTTGTTCATGATCCTCTGCCCTCCCCTCTCCTAAGTTTGTTCCCTGATCTCCTTGCAGGTGGAGTTGGTGTCTTCTTTACTGCGGAGTTGGTGTCTTTACTGTGGAGTTGGTGTCTTCTTTACTGTGGAGTTGGTGTCTTCTTTACTGTGGAGTTGGTGTCTTCTTTACTGTGGAGTTGGTGTCCTCTTTACTGTGGAGTTGGTGTCCTCTTTACTGTGGAGTTGGTGTCTTTACTGTGGAGTTGGTGTCTTCTTTACTGTGGAGTTGGTGTCTTCTTTACTGTGGAGTTGGTGTCTTCTTTACTGTGGAGTTGGTGTCTTCTTTACTGTGGAGTTGGTGTCTTCTTTACTGTGGAGTTGGTGTCTTCTTTACTGTGGAGTTGGTGTCTTCTTTACTGTGGAGTTGGTGTCTTCTTTACTGTGGAGTTGGTGTCTTCTTTACTGTGGAGTTGGTGTCTTCTTTACTGTGGAGTTGGTGTCTTCTTTACTGTGGAGTTGGTGTCTTCTTTACTGTGGAGTTGGTGTCTTCTTTACTGTGGAGTTGGTGTCTTCTTTACTGTGGAGTTGGTGTCTTCTTTACTGTGGAGTTGGTGTCTTCTTTACTGTGGAGTTGGTGTCTTCTTTACTGTGGAGTTGGTGTCTTCTTTACTGTGGAGTTGGTGTCCTCTTTACTGTGGAGTTGGTGTCTTTACTGTGGAGTTGGTGTCTTCTTTACTGTGGAGTTGGTGTCTTCTTTACTGTGGAGTTGGTGTCTTCTTTACTGTGGAGTTGGTGTCTTCTTTACTGTGGAGTTGGTGTCTTCTTTACTGTGGAGTTGGTGTCTTCTTTACTGTGGAGTTGGTGTCTTCTTTACTGTGGAGTTGGTGTCTTCTTTACTGTGGAGTTGGTGTCTTCTTTACTGTGGAGTTGGTGTCTTCTTTACTGTGGAGTTGGTGTCTTCTTTACTGTGGAGTTGGTGTCTTCTTTACTGTGGAGTTGGTGTCTTCTTTACTGTGGAGTTGGTGTCTTCTTTACTGTGGAGTTGGTGTCTTCTTTACTGTGGAGTTGGTGTCTTCTTTACTGTGGAGTTGGTGTCTTCTTTACTGTGGAGTTGGTGTCTTCTTTACTGTGGAGTTGGTGTCCTCTTTACTGTGGAGTTGGTGTCTTTACTGTGGAGTTGGTGTCTTCTTTACTGTGGAGTTGGTGTCTTCTTTACTGTGGAGTTGGTGTCTTCTTTACTGTGGAGTTGGTGTCTTCTTTACTGTGGAGTTGGTGTCTTCTTTACTGTGGAGTTGGTGTCTTCTTTACTGTGGAGTTGGTGTCTTCTTTACTGTGGAGTTGGTGTCTTCTTTACTGTGGAGTTGGTGTCTTCTTTACTGTGGAGTTGGTGTCTTCTTTACTGTGGAGTTGGTGTCTTCTTTACTGTGGAGTTGGTGTCTTCTTTACTGTGGAGTTGGTGTCTTCTTTACTGTGGAGTTGGTGTCTTCTTTACTGTGGAGTTGGTGTCTTCTTTACTGTGGAGTTGGTGTCTTCTTTACTGTGGAGTTGGTGTCTTCTTTACTGTGGAGTTGGTGTCTTCTTTACTGTGGAGTTGGTGTCCTCTTTACTGTGGAGTTGGTGTCTTTACTGTGGAGTTGGTGTCTTCTTTACTGTGGAGTTGGTGTCTTCTTTACTGTGGAGTTGGTGTCTTCTTTACTGTGGAGTTGGTGTCTTCTTTACTGTGGAGTTGGTGTCTTCTTTACTGTGGAGTTGGTGTCTTCTTTACTGTGGAGTTGGTGTCTTCTTTACTGTGGAGTTGGTGTCTTCTTTACTGTGGAGTTGGTGTCTTCTTTACTGTGGAGTTGGTGTCTTCTTTACTGTGGAGTTGGTGTCTTCTTTACTGTGGCGTTGGTGTCTTCTTTATTGTTCTTGTTTTGGGTGAACTTGTAAAGGAAGAATAGAAATTGCATTATTCTGCCATTTTGAAACTTTAAATCGATGAAAGCACATTTATTATTTATTCATTCAACTTTAAATTTTATTATTTTAGGAAGAACATAAAGTTCATAGCATTGAAATTATATTAAAGTTATTCACTGAAAAGTTGCACTGCCATTCTTTTTTAAAAAATATTTTATTATTTTTATTTTATGTGTATGAATGTATGGCCTGCATGTATGTAAGTGCACCCATGTCATACAGTGCTCTTGGAAGTCAGAAGATTGCTTCTGGGAATTGAACCTGGGTCCTCTGCAAGAGCAGCCAGTGCTCTTCACCACTGAGCCATCTCTCCAGCCCCTCACCCCCATTCTTGATTTCAATTTCCCCTGGTACTTTCCTCACTCTTTATAGTGATTCACTTTTATTAATTGCCTTTTATACATCTCCATGTATTTGTTATATAAATGTTAATAGCTATAGATACGTGTTATAGATAGACTCTCATCTTTTGGCTTAGAAGTTTCTTAATGCTCATTAAAATGTATATATTATTATACAGTAATACTTCCCTATCCAAAGTTTTGCTTTCTATAGTTTCAGTTACTTGTAGTCAGTTTGGGTCTGGAAATATTAAATTGAAAATTCCAGAAATAGCTTATTATTTTAAACTGCATGGTGGTCTAAGAAGCATGGTGAAGCATCACATTGCCCCAACCCTGGGATGTGATCATCTCTTTGCCTGGTATGTCTGTTGTTCTAGTTTGCTTTCTGTTACTGTGATATGCACCATGACCAAAAGCAACTTAGAGGAGGAAAGGTTTAATGGCTTATACTTCCCAGGCCACAGTCCATCACTGAGGGAACTCAAGAAGGAAGCTTAAGCAGGAACTGAAGCAGAAACCATGGCGGGGGTGCTACATACTGGCTTGCTCTCACTCAGCCTGTTCAGCTACTTTTCTTACACAGTCCAGGCCCACCAGCCCAGGGATGGCACCACCACCGACAGTGGGCTGGGCTTTCCTACAACAATTAGCAATTAAGAAAGTGCCTCACAGGCCAATCTGATTGAGGCAAACCCCCAATTAAGATTCCCTCAGACAACTCTGGCCTGTGTCAAGATGACAACTGAAACTAACTAGGAAATCCAGGCTGTGCATACTAACTGGACCATTAGTGACTTAGCGTCCATCTTCTTTATCAGATTGACTGCAGAAGGCCGCATCACTGTGCCCATGCCATTCACCTCAGCTTGTCGCATAGGTCTGTGTTATGTCATCGCAAGAAAGAGTACACAATAATAAGGTATCTTGAGAGAGATTTCACATTTACATAACTCATTATAATTTGTTGCTATAATTGTTCTATTTATTTATTTTTTGAAAATCTCTTACTGTACCTAATTTATAAATTAAAATTTATTATAGATATATATTTAGGAAAAAAACAGTATATATGTGGTTCAGTACTCTCTCAGTTGCAGACATCTGTTGGGGTTCTCAAAACATAGCCCCTTGGATAAGAGAGGGCTACTGTGTAACTTAAAGTGATTTATATTAATGTGTATTTTAGCTCTTGAATGTTTGGAATCATGTTTATTAGGCAGAAGGTTTATTTGGAGAACTTGAGTAGATCAGGAAATGACAGATAAAGAGACAAGGGCATGGAGATGGAGCTGAGATGCAGTGAGGAAATCAGAACAGTGACAAAAGACAATGAAGAACATAGAGCTAGGGATCTAGACCAACTCTCATCAACCGAGGGCTATTTCCACACCTAGAAAGTCAGGAACACAGTTCAGTGCTCTGCTATATGCAAAGTAAGTGGAAAAAGAGTGTGTCTTTCTCAGAAAGAGTGGGTCAACTCTTCTTTTGTTTTGTTTTGCTTTGCTTTACTGTCATTATTTGCTGTGCACACACATGGTAGATATATAGCATAAGGCTACTGAACACAGTGCACCGAGTGGCCAATGAAAGCCATGGGTCTAGATCTCAGCCTGTGGCATCCAAGCCTCTAAGTCAGAGGCAGGGCCTCAAAGGTGTCAATGAAGCTAGTCTCTGGAACATGTGTGTGAACCCTGTCTTCTGAGACTCCCAGAAAAATGGACTCTGCTGAGGAAGGCAGTCGACTCAGGAAATCAGTCCAGAGAATTCCTGAGGATTGACTGTGAAGTTAACTGCCAGAGGCCTTTACAGATCAATAGACCTGTGGGCTGGAGGAGGCTACATCTGTTTTCTATTCTATTCTTTTGTCTATTCTCTGAGAATTACAAAGTAATTGGTGGCGTTGTTTAACTTGTTGGACTTTGACCTCTTTTATTTGTTTGTTTTGTGAGACAGTGTTCGGCTATATCCCCTAGCCTCTGTCAGTCTTGTGCTTCAACCTCCCCAGGAGCTGAGACTACAGGCCTGCACCACTGCTTGAGCAGATAAAGACAATTACCGTACATAGGTCTGTAACTCTGAATTGGAATTAGGTGTTCTTGGTTGGGAAGATGCATGGGGAAGAGATATTTTTCTTTTAGACCTTGAAGTTTTTGAGAACTTTTGCCACTTAATGGGTAATTTCAGTCTAATATTGGTAGAATGAGATGGAAATACCTCCATCTTATAAAGGCAGAAGTAGATCCTGGTGTGACTGTCCTGTGTGTTCTTCCCCCGTTTCTGACCTCAAGACAGTCTTTACTTCTTACAAGTTTGGTGGTAGAAGAGAATTTTTTAAGTAAACTATTTATTTATTTTTATTTTATGTGTATTTTTATTTTGCTTGTATTGTAGGTAAGTGCACTTTTGTGGTGCAATGCCCTCAAAGGCCAGAAGAAGGTGTCAGATCCCCTGCAACTGAAGTTATGGATGGTTAGCTGTCATGTGAGTGCTGGGAACCGAACCTGGGTCCTCTGTCAGAGCAGCCAGTGCTCTTAACCAGTGAGCTATCTCTCCAGCCATGGAAGAAAATTTTTAACTGCCAATTTATCTAACTGCTGGGTTTGGGAAGAACTCTCAAATACACAGAAAGCAATTTCTATGTATTATTATTTCTAATGAGCTTTATATTAGAACTGAAAGCAATTTCTTAATGCTGAGAGAAATTCATTAGGCCAAGTAATTTTGTTGTTAACAAATTACATAATTGATGTAAGATCACAGCCAAATATTGGCATGCTGCTTCACATGTGATATAGTTATTTTCAAAATAAATCAAGGGGGAACTTTGCAAATATGGATTAGAATAATGGAATTGGTGTAGTTGTATACCTAGAGAACTTAATAGAGTTAATATTTTCTGTTTATGAAAAGAAGAATATGATTGAGTCTTGTTTGTAACATTCCAAAAGGTACAATCACTTCTACCAAGTGCTGTCGAAGCTGATAGATGGAATCATATGTAGATGAGATTCCTTTGGTCCTGTAGGATTCATCCAGTGATGGGGAGCTTGCTCTCTGTTGTCTGCAGAGGTAACTCAATGTCAATTTGTACTTTTTATGATGTAATGAACAATAGCCTTGTTGCCTTTTTCTTCTCCAAACTGTTGGACTTGTTTATTCTAGAGGGACTTAAGGTCATGTGACTTATTTGTTTTTTTTTTTTTTATATCAGAATTGACACATACAGATAAACACAGCCTCATTCAAGTTAGTCTGAGAACCGGCTTTCGTTCTCATGATGGTATTATTGCTTTGTCATACTGGAACAGCTAATTGAATTTTAGAGATTGAACAACCTTTTAGAGATTGAGCAATCATTGATTGATCTCAATGCCTCGAGATTATTTGCTTATGAGAAAGAATGTAAAATAGTTTAAAGCCCGTCCTGGGGAATAGAATGAGCACTCAGCTGGGGAAGGAGAAGAAGGTAATAAGGTTCTGAGGTTTGTGTAGAACTTGTGTGGCTTAGTATTCCCAAGGAAGAATACCAATATGCCTCTTTAGAGGAAAGACCTGGGATGAATGGTTGATATCACCCAAGTTCATGTGTTTATATTCTTACTTCCAATGTGATGAAGTTAGGAGGTAAGATGTCTGCGAGGTCATTAGGTTTTAAGATGGAAAGGGGAAATCCTCATGAATGGGATTAGTGTCCTTATCAAAGTGACTTTAGAAAGCTAGCTTAGTGAAGTCTTGGTAAGAAGTTAACTATCTGCAACCAGATTAGGGCTTCTGAACCTGACCACAGCAGCACCTTGAATTTGGATGGTCAGCCTCCAGAACTGTGAGAAATCAAAGTTTGTTGTTCTCCAACCACCCAGTCTATAAAAACTACAAAAACTGATAAAAACAGGAGCTTTGTTCGAATAAGAACATAGAATCTGTAAAACTCTTCTTGTGGAACTTCATGTATAGCACTTTGTCTAGAATAGTATTTCTTCAAAGTATAAAGATGAGTGCAGTTATAATTTGAACTCAGTACATCCTAGTAGGATGGTTTCCTGTAAGTAAAATATAATAACCATACCCCTGTATAAATAACAGTTGAATACTAATCTTATATTTTAACTCCTGTAAAATCTCTGTAATTGCATGCATTGACCACAGGAGACCTCAGTGTACTGTGATTAGTACACTGAATTTACAGGAAGTGTAATTCGGCTGCATCAAGAGTCATGACTGCCATCAACTGACTGTAATCCAAAAGAAATTTCTGGAATGCTTTTTCTGACTAAAGAATTCTAACAAAAGTGCCTTGGAGGTTTAAACAGAAGCCATCGTTTTCTTAAAATAGCCTTCCCTGCAGCAAGCTGAGCATTCAGAATTATTGCATTGATTTTAGAACCATTTTACTAAAAATACTTTGCAACGCCTCCTCGTTTATGCCAAAAAATAATGGTCTTTACTTTGTCAGTGATCTGTCAAATGGAAAATGATGTCTGAAATTAAAAATATAGGTGTACTTTAACAATTTGGAGTAATGTTCCACATAATGAAATCTACCTGAACGATGCCCGAGATGATCATTTTTGAAGAATTTCACTCATCTGCTGCATCTATATACTGTTATATTTGTTAAATCAGTATCATTATCACATAGTCACACCTCATCAATATTTGAACTTGAGGTCAAAGAACTGCATAATCTCCCACAATGACCGTTAAGAACACTTTCCTCTCTCCACCCCCATACAGCTCTATAATGATACCCACATTTGCTTTTGCAAAGCTTCTGCTGTGACCACAGGCAGAAACAGCCTAGCAGGCCAGATGGTGTGCTGATTTGAGTAGAGCAATTCCTTGGCCCTTGTTTTAACTTGGTAGTTCTCCTTAGTCTGCTCAGGAAAGTGCAATGCAGGAACATAAGGAAACCGCTGTGAAGGCAAGGTACTTTGGCAACATTTCTGCATTTCCTGCCCACTCCTGGTTGGGCATTGATGTTAATTTTCTTATCTTAGTTAAACCATTAAATGAATCATTTAAATAATAAAGTGTTTTTCCTCCTGGTGTAATACTTCAGAGAGGTGGTTGTAGGCTTAAAGCCTGTCACCTCTAAAGAGTTCTAGATCAAAAGCAGATTCCTGTTAACAAACGGTGATGTAAGTGAATCCATAATCTCATTTGGCTTCAATATTTTCAGGTCAGCTGTTATGGTTTGTATCTGGTTATGGTTTGAATCCAAAATGTCCCTCATAGTCTCATGTGTTTGAAATCTTGGTCCCTAGCTGGAGACATGGGGAAATAAAAATTAGTGAATTTTTTTTTATTGCCTTGAATTTCTATTGGAATTTAAACTAATTAGCTGCCTAATTGACCCCTCCTTCCCTTTTTTTTTTAAACTTTATCAATAATACTGTTATTTGTTAGTCTACTGTAAGAGAGTTGGCATATGTAAGCAATGTAACATTATGTCAGTTTCTATATTAAAGACAAGTATGGTAGAGACAATGTAGCTAAACACATTTTCAGAAAAGAGTATCCTAATGTGATTTATTGTTACTGTTATTAATTAAAAGACACTTCTCTTCTCCACAGAAACTAACCTGAGCAGTTGTTTCCTTGAAAGAATGGCTGCCTAGTAGTGCCAGGAATGAACAGGGTGTTTGCTAATGAGCGGTGGTGGTCTTCTCTTGACCTTTCCTTTCTGTTGATAATTTGGCTAGGTATAGAATTCCAAGTTCAAAGTAATTTTGCTACCAGAGCTTTGAAGTTATAAAACTCTTGTCAGATGATATTCAGTTTTGTAAATTAAAAACAAAACAAAACAAAACAAAACATCCAACCCCTGAAATGTGATTCCTATTTATTTGAAATACTTTTTGTTTTGATTTATTTACTGGTTGTTAATCCTTTCCCTGGAAGTCTTGTAGTTTTTCTTTTTAGACAGGATCTCCTTGTAGCCCCAACTGGTCTGGAACTCACTACATAGACCAAGCTGGCCTTAGGCTCACAGAGATCCACCTGCCATTGCCTCCCAACTGCTGGGATTAAAGGTGTACACCACCATGTCTGGCATCTTATAATTTTTTACTTGTTTTTGGGATTATGATACTTCAGTTCAGTATGCTAAAAATTGTATTCTAAAAGAACCCAAACAGATTCCTGTTTTGTTTTTGGTAAACTCTTTTAATCTCAAGCTTACAGTCTATTATTCAGTTTACAGAACATCATGTATTTCATTGTTTTTGGTTTGTTTGTTTGTTTGTTTGTTTCTGTTTTACCTCCTGGATCCAAATTTTGCCAAATACTATGCCAGCCTTGCGGTTTTGAGCACATTAACCTCTACCATCTTTGATCATCACCTGCATTACTTTAAAGTGGAAATTAGAATCCCAAGGGGTCAGGACTCAATATGGCAATTATTCTTTCTCCTTCAGATTTCTTGCCCCTCTAAGCTCATCATTTTGATCAAGGCATGCAAATCTAAATATAGACTTTGCTTCTTAGAGTGATGTCTAGGCTGTTTTTAGAGGGAAGTTATTGGACCCAATTCTGGTTTTCCTCAAAATAGTATTGACTCATTTAGTGCTATGGGTTATATGGTGAGAGGTCAATACCAAGGAAAAGATTTAAGCATATGTACCAATGGGAGCTGGAGTATTAAATGACGGGGTGTCTCAGACTTTGTTGTAAAGTAGACATGAATAAAATCAATATTTTTGTGTCTATAATGTTCCTATGTTGATTCATCTATGAAAGGCTGCCAGGTTCATTTTCCTGGAAGAACAGTTCTGTTCATATCCTACCACCCATTTCTTAAGTTTTCATCAGATCCCGATCGCTGACTGTGATAACATGGTTACTTAGCTTAATCTTCAAGTTGTACAAAAGATTGGCTCTCAAAGCATTCCCTTTGGTGTTCCGTAACTCCATACAGTCTTTCAGCTGAATCCACCGTATTACTTTGTGTTTCCTAGATGTAGCCCACACTGTTGCTGTCCGCTGGAATTTTCTGTGCTTTCTTTTTGCATCAAGGAGATCTTGTATCTTGTTTCCCTTTAAGATCTGGCACATGGCTTCTTCCTTCATTAAGCTTTCCCAGTTTCTGAACCTCCACGTTCTACTTCTCTTGATGCCCCAAAGCACATGAATTACTTGTGCATCTCCTATGCCTCATGGCTGGCTCCTTTGAGGTGACTTGAGACAGAAACTGTTACACTTATTTGTGATCAACTGATATCGAATCTGCTCAGTGAATATGGGGGCTGAGCAAGGAGAGGTGCATGGTTTTGAAAAGAGCAAATGAATTTTGGATTAATATTGTTTTGTGTTTTAGTAGAGCTGAATTGTGTCTCATATTTATTTTTTGGTAACTCTTTTGACTTTAAAAATATTTTGGTGTTTGTTTGCTTGTTTGTTTTGAGATAGGATCACTCTATGTAGCCCTGCTGATCTGGAAATCACTTTGTAGACCAAGCTGGCCTCAAACTCACATATCTCTGACTGCCTCTGTCACCTGAGTGCTGAGATTAAAGGTGTGTGTCACCATACCTGGTGACTTTAAAAGTTTTTATATTATCTATATGACTACTTTTAAAAACATTTTTATAATTAATTTTTTTGTGTGTACATGGGCATGTGGGTGTGTGCGTTTGCATGTGCTGGCATGCTTTGACCATGGCACACATGTGGAAATCAGAGGACAACTTGAAGGAGTCAGTTCCCTTCTTCCACCATGTAGATTTCAGGAATGGAACTCAGGTCTTCAGGCTTGGCAGCAAGCATTTTTATCCACTGTGTCATCTTGTTGCCTGTGATCATTTCTTGATATGCATTGATTATCACAAGTGTGACTGGGATATAGTTGGTAAATAACATCTGTATACATTAAAGGATTCAACACGATGCTTTTAGGTATGTGTACTTGTAATGTGGTTGTCAGGGTCCAGCTAATCTCATTGCCCCTCATAGTTCTTTTGTTTGTGGCCTAGTGGTTCTTCTGAAATGTTAGCTTGGTATGACTGATCTAGAATTGCCTGGATGATGTGTCTCTGGCCTTGCCTGTGAGGGATAATCTTT